AAAAAAAAAGAAATAGTTTTCATATGCAGAGGAAAAAATCTAGTGTGATTACCATGAAACTATTGATAGTAGATAGCTCAGTGGGGGTAGGTTGGGGAAATTACAAGGCAAATGCCCCAGGTTAGTCGTGGTCTAGTGGTCATAGTTTTTACAAAGCTTGTATAGCCTTAAAAAGCATTAAAAAACAAAATTTTTTTTTTTTGAGACAGAGTCTCACTATGTCACCCTCAGTAGGGTACTGTGGCATCACAGCTCACAGCAACCTCAAATTATTGGGCTCAAGTGATTCTCTTGCCTCAGCCTTCCAAGTAGCTGGGACTATAGGTGCCTGCCACAATGCCTGGCTATTTTTCTGTTGCAATTGTCATTGTTGCTTAGCTGGCCCAGGCTGGGTTTGAACCTGACAGCATTGGTGTATGTGGCTGACGCTGTAAACACTGTGCTACGGGCGCCAAGCCTAGCAATAAAAACTTATTAATATATTTGGAAGGAAGGTTCTTATTCAAGAGAGCTTGGACACAGAGTAGTGAGTAATCAGGGAAAGGAGGATGTCTGTTCTTAAGCAGGAGAGTGGGTTGATCAGACTGTGTTTTTGTGAGATCCATTATAGGGCCCAGCCCTGGGCCTACGTACCTAGTAATAGAGGGTTCTGGGGCTCCCACCAGGTGGTAGACCCTGCTCTTAGTGCTGGGAATTCAGTGGTGAACACACACCACCCTTGTAGTGCTGACATCCTGGAGAACTCCATAGGTATCTGAGGTCAGGTGATAAGACTAGAGGGTCAGCTTTATGCAGTGGCAGTATTGTAACCAGTGAAGTTTATCCAAGGCATAATTATTGCTAATGGAAAACTTTTCCCAATACCCCACGAAGACGACTTGAAACAGTCAGCATTGGCAATTTTTACTTTTAAATATGAACACTTGGCTCAGCAACTACAGCTCAAATGGCTAAGGCGCCAGCCACATATACCTGAGCTGGCGGGTTCGATTCTAGCCCAGCCCGCCAAACAATGACGCTTCAACCAAAAAATAGCTGAGCGTTGTGGTGAACGCTTATAGTCCTAGCTGCTTGGGAGGTGGAGGCAGGAGACTTGCTTGAGCCCAGGAGATGGGAGGTTGCTGTGAGCTGTGATGCCATGACACTCTCTACCCAAGGTGACAGCTTGTGACATTGTCTCAAAAAAAATAATGATAATAATAATGAATGCTTCATGAATTTGCATGTCATCCTTGCATAGGGGCCATGCTAATCTTCTCTGTATCGTTCCAATTTTAGTATATGTGCTGCCCAGCGAGCACAGCATTGGCAATTTTTGACAGTCTGTGGAGACTGGAGAGGCCAAAGAGAAGAACCTCTGAAATAGAGGTGGGGCTGTCCCAGACAGGCCATTGCAGGGTCAGTTGGAGGTGCCAGGAAGTAGGGTCACTTGGAAGTTAGAAACTGAGGCCAGAAGCTTAGGGGACAGGACCCAGGGGAAGAGGATAGGCTGGGTCAGGAAGAGCACCCAGAAGGGAGAAAGGGGTCTGTAGAGGGCCCCTAAGGAGGCTGAGTGGACATGCTGTGGGGCAGAAGGGCTATGGCAGGAGGGAAGGGAATGGCAGTGGGGACAGGAGACATCTGGAAGACTGGGGGACAGTGACACCAAACCGAGATAGGATGGTCAGGGAGGGGAAGGAAGTTCAGGGGAGATGCTGAGGACAGTTTAGCACACAGTGGGAGTGAGGGGCCTGAGGGGTTCATGTGGGACAAGCTGTCCGGAGGCCACAGGAGCCCCACATCTGGGGACAGAGAGGTGGCATCTTCAGTGACTAGGCTAAAGCCATTGGTGTAGAAGAGGCAAGTACCCCAGAGAAGATGGAAAGAGAAAACAGAAGAGGCACTCTACCCAGGGTGACAGCTTGTGGCTCTGTCTCAAAAAAAAAGAAAAAAAAATGAATGCTTCATGAATTTGCATGTCAAATTCATGTGTCATTATTGTTTGGCTGGCCGGGCTGGAATCGAACCCGCCAGCTCAGGTGTATGTGGCTGGCCCAGGACAGACTCCCAGAGACCTGCAGTTAGGGAGCTGGACCAGGGAAGGAGTGGGGGAAGGAGATGGAGGTGGGCAGAGAGGTGTGCAGTGGCCCTAGGCTGCAAGCAGCGGCTGTGTAGGGCAAGCATGGGGCACCACTGGTGTCCTTAGAGGAGTGAGTTTAACATTATTCATGGCCCCTTAGGGATGGTGGGAAGGGGCAGCAGGCCCACCCTTCAGGGAACAGGGAGTGCAAGAATGGTTTGTGATAAGAGCAACAGCAGCACTTACTGGGCACTTCCCACCCACCCCACCCCCCGCTCCTGGGCATCAGTCCCAGCGCCTCACATGCGCTACATCAGTACCTTGGTTCATCCTCACAACAGCTGTCTAAGCTCCTTTTCCAAGATGAGGAGCACTGAGACTTAGAAAAGTGAAGTCAAGGTCAGCTGCAGTGGCTCATGCCTGTAATCCTAGCACTCTGTGAGGCCCAGGAGGATGGAATGCTTGAACTCAGGAGTTTGAGACCAGCCTAAGCCAGAACAAGATCCCGTTTCTACTAAAAATGGAAAAACTAGGTGGGCACTGTGGCAGGCACCTATAGTCACAGCTACTTGGGAGGTTAAGGCAAGAGGATCACTTGAACTCATCAGTTTGAGGCTGCTATGAGATATGGTACCATGGCATTCTACCCAGGGTGACAGAGTGAGACTGTATTAAAAAAAAAAGAAGAAGAAGAAAGAAAGAGGGTAGATGTGGTGGGTTCCACCTGTAACCCTAGCTCTCTGGGAGTCTGAGGCAGTTGGATTGCCTGAGCTCATGGGTTTGAGACCAGTCCGAGCCAGAATGAGAAAGAAATAGCCAGGCATTGTGGCAGGTGCCTGTAGTCCCAGCTACTTGGGAAGCTAAAGCAAGAGAATCACTTGAGCCCAAGAGTTTGAGGTTGCTGTCAGCTATGACACCATGACACACTACTGAGGGTGACAAAGTGAGACTCTGTCTCAAAAAAAAAAAGAAAGAAAGAAAGAAAGAAAGAAAAGAAAGAGAAGCCAGGTCCCTCACAAAGGCTCTTACTCGTCAGGACTAGTGGGGCCAGGTTTCCAACCCAGGCAGCTTGTCCCAGAGCCCTCACGCTGGCCCCAGGACTGTCCCTCCACTGCCCCTCACTTCCTCAGGTCAGCTGTGCACCACAGCCTTTTCCAGAAACCTGGTGTCTTCCCCTCCCACATCCCCCCTAACCCCACTTCTCTCGGGCCTGGCCACCCCACCCCACCCCACCCCTTCCAGGATTCAGATTCAGGCACTGAGAGAGGAGCAGCTGGCAGAGAAGAAGAGAGTGAGTATCTTCTTTGGGGACAGGGAGGGGTTCTGGGAGGCAGATTTAGGGAAGGAATCCGGGTGACACCCCCTCAATTCCACCAGGAGTGATAGTTCTAAGTATGTAACAAGACTGGGTATAATAGCTCACATATGTAATCCCAGCACTTTGGGAGGAAAGTAGGAGGATCGCTTGAGGTCAGGAATTCAAGACCAGCTACAGCAATTCTCAGAACCAGAGCAGGCTCCAAGAAGGCCCTGGTTGAGCCCGCCATTATGTCTTTAGTTGGTGCAGGGACTGGAGGACCCCTGGGCTGGGGAGGGGGTACTGGAGAGATCCACAGACCCTGGCTGGATGCCCACCTCACCTCTGTCTCTCTTTTTGGTCAGTGGACTTCCTTCGGAATTTCTTCTCCCAGACACTTGGCCTGGGCACCCAGAAGGAGCGTCTCCTGGATGAGCTCACCTTGGAAGGGGTGGCTCGGTACATGCAGAGCGAGCGCTGTAAGTCCCCTTCCTGGATTGGGTCACTCCCCCACTAGCCCCCCACCCCTGCTCAAACTGGTTTAAGCCATAAAAGGAGCATGTTAGCTCTGTGACTAAAATCCAGCTTTGAGTGTAATGGCTGGATCCAGGTGCTTCCGTATTGCCAAAAATCTTAACTCTCAGCCAGGCACAGTGGCTCACACCAGTAATCCTAGCACTCTGGGAGGCAGAGGCAGGTGGATTGCTTGAGCTCAGGCATTGAAGACCAGCCTGAGCAAGAATGAGACCCCATCTCTACTAATAATAGAAAAACTACATGGACCTTGTGGTAAGTGCCTACAGTCCCAGCTACTGGGGAGGCTGAGGCAAGACGATGACTTGAACACAGGTCAAGAGTGTGCTTTCAATTCTCAGGGCCCCTGGGGTCCCATGGAAGAACCCACGTGAGGGACTTGGGTTCTCTTTCTTTTCTTTCTTTGAGGTTGTTCTGAGCTATCATGAGGCCATGGCATTCTACTCAGGGCAACAGACTGATTCTCTGTCTCAAAAAAAGGAAAGGAAAAAAAGAAAAAGAACATTAAAAAAAAAAAATCTTAACTCTCTTTCTGGGGCCATTTTTCTCCTTTGGAGGGAAGGTGACTCCTGGCAGCTCCAAATTCAAGTTCTACCCAGCCTAACAGCTGCCACTGAAAAACAGCACCATTTTCCCAGTGTTTTTAATTTATTTAATAGATCACTTATTATATATTTACTTAAATATTTTTATGACATATTCAATTGCAAATTTATATCATTTAATTTTTAATGTGACCGTGTTTAACACTCAGCTTGATAAATTCCTAAAAACATAACCATCAGCACCACGGAGCAAGCCTGAGCTGGCTGTGGTGCACCATTGTCAGGATGGCTGAGCCAAGCCTTCCCCCGCAACTCTGCACACCAGTGGGAATGGCGATCTGCTCCAGTTGGCCCAGAATGAGTCACACGCCTGCCCCTGGACCACGCACTCAGTCTCTGATTGGCTTCTGATGTGACCGAGGTCACATCTTCACTTCTGCTCCGACTGATCAGGCCTATGTCATCAAGAAGACTAGGCTCGGCGCCTGTGGCTCAAGCGGCTAAGGCGCCAGCCACGTACACCTAAGGTGGCGGGTTCGAATCCCCAGCCCGGGCCCGCCAAACAACAATGACGGCTACAACCAAAAAAAAATAGCTGGGCGTTGTGGCGGGCGCCTGTAGTCCCAGCTACTTGGGAGGCTGAGGCAAGAGACTCGCTTGAGCCCAGAAGTTGGAGGTTACTGTGAGCATGATGCCATGGCACTTTACCCAGGGGGATAGCTTGAGGCTCCGTCTCAAAAAAAAAAAAAAAGAAGAAGAAGACTAGTGTCTGGTGCTCACTTCGGCAGCACATATACTAAAATTGAACCATACAGAGAAGATTAGCATGGCCCCTGTGCAAGGATGACACGCAAATTTGTGAAGCATTCCATATTTAAAAAAAAAGAAGAAGAAGACTAGTGTCTGACTCATTGGGGTTATTGGGGACCCAGCATAAATATGGATGCTTAGAGCAGAGCTGGGAATCTAGTAAGGGCTGTGCAGCATTCACTGTGCTTATTACAGAAAGCTCCTTCAGGTGCAACATGTAGATGTCTATTTACTGGGTCACCAGGTAATTTATATTTCTTGCCATGAGTTGAGGTCACCAAAGTCTGAAAAACTAGGCCCGTGGCAGTGCTCAACCAGAACAATCAACCCTTTGAGGGTCCTGAACAGCCTTTTGTTGAGGACATCTTCTCCAGTTTCCCTGTCCCCTAGGGCAGCAGTCTCCCTCCCCAGGCAGCCGGGGGCAGGCGGGGCAGCTGTCTGCAGCCATCCTTCGCCTTGGGTGAGCCCCAAAGAGCATGCAGGCAATGGCTACAAGCATTTGCTCATTCTGTCCTGCATCTGGATTCTGGGATAATTGTTTCCTAAAGGTGCCCCTGAGGGGATAATAATAAATAATAACAATTAATGGCCATCTCTGATTGCCAGGCACAGGGCTAAGCACTTTACAGTTGTCTTTTTATTTGATCTTGACATTGTGCCTGTGAGGTCATTATGGGAGTGATCTGGACAGAGGAGGAGACTCAAGCATGGAAGATTGTGACCTGGTGCAGAGTCAAACAGCTGCCAAGTGACAGTTAGGGTTGGACCCCAGGGCCCCTGAATTGAAAGCACAGTCTCCCCCTGACTTGTTCCCCACTTGATCCAACCAGACCTGGCCTGATGGCATCCCAGGCACAAAGCTGAGGGCTTTTGTTCACCCTTGCTGACCTCCCTTGGACAGACACCCCAAAGGTACCTAATTCACAGATGTCACAGCTGTCTGTCAGCTGACAGGCAGTTACCAGGGCACTGTGTGGGGGAGCTGCCCGCCAGCCAGCAGCTGAGACAGCAAAAGGGCTGTTTCTGTTCCACCCAGTGTGCTTTGGAAACGATTCAACCTCCTACCACAACTTTTAACCGGTAAAAATGAGGGAACAAAGTTCTCTTTTTTTTTTTTTTTTTTTGAGAC